GTGACTGTGCCATCTTACGCCTCTTGCGCATCTCCCAGGCTTCTTCTGCCATGCTTGACATGAGGCCATCATGTGATGCCCCAGATGGAACTATGCCCAGGGGCTGGCCCAGAACTGTCATGGTGTCTGGGACCACATCCGTCTTAACAGCCGCAATTGCAGCCTTGCAAGAAGCAGCATGCGCCTCAAGTTGCGCTTTCTCGGAATTCGCATGCTGCGGTTTGGCGCAGTACAACCTAGGTTTCTTTGCCTTGGCCTGCTCTACGGCAATCTCCTGCAAAGTTGGGACTTCCAAAGACCGTGCTTTAGAAGCACGCTCTCCATACCATGAAGCATACATCTTCTGGCACCGGAGCAAATAAGCACTCGCAGGACGCAGCACCACAGCCTGTCCGGCCGTCTTACGAGGCCCCTCCTTGGTGAGCAGCTGTCTAGGGTCCAGTCTTGTTGTCCGACGCCCTCTCTCGTCCTGCAACAAAATCTTCATCATCGCTTCAACAGTGCGTTCATGCAGGCCACCCCGTCTCGCCAAAAGAGTGCCCATCAGATTGACAGACCTCTCCACAGTACCGGTGCCTGCCAGGGAAGATAAGTAAAACTCAATGGCCTTCATGGCCGCAGTGTGGGAAGCATTCTTTCTTGCACCCTGCCAAGTGCGTAGCCATGCTCTTTGATGCAGACTTTGTGGCAAATGACATGTCAGCTTAGACTGGTCCTCCTGCTCAGCCACCAGAAGTCCTGCTTCAGAACTCCAATACCGAGCCTGCTGCAGTAAGCCGGTCGTTGTGCCGTTTCCAATGATTGATTGCCATGCGGCAGACCCACTCAAGCCCAACCTCTCACAAAGCGCAAGAAAAAGCCGCTGCCGGTCAGACAGGGCCATCTCCACAGTCAAGTTGAAGGCTCCCAGAAGGTTGGCTTCCTGCTATGAGACACAAAGTTATCGATTACTAAATAGAAATATCCTTCTAGTGGGGTCTAGGGACTAGGGAACCAGAGGCGGTTTCTCATATCGATAGATTGAAATCAATTGGCCTCGTACCCTGGAAAGTGGGACTTGAAGAAAGCCTCGAAGATGGCATAAAACCTTAGTGGTGGCAACCACCCGCATCAAAAGCCGACCCAGTAAAAACATACTTGCACAAGCAGACCGCACTGCTTGTAGTGTCCAAACCAACATCCCACCTAGCAGCTCTCTGGCGGCCTTGATTGGCTGTGATCGAGCCTGCGAGTCCGGGGCAGGCCACCGAATGCTGATTTGGTGGCATTGCTTCCCACCACGCCCAACAAAGACAGCTCGATCGCGGATTGCTGATAGCACTGTGTGTGTCAACGTGTCCTTGGCCTGCGGCAGCCAGATCCCTCCGTCATGGAGCATATGTTTCATGGTGGCCAAGGTCTCAGCTGCCATTGGCGCGGCCAATGCATAATCTGATGCGTCTTGATCGCACACCTTCAGCATGGGCCACCCCAAAATCATCGTGTCAGCAACAACTGCTGCGGAGACACAGGTGCAGAATCCCGTGTCTCCCCCAAGCTGGGCCAAGAGGTTGACCGCAATCTTGCGGTCGTCACGGTCCCACTGCCCCTCTTCACCTGCTATCTCCTCTAGCAGGTCAAGAACTGTGACAAATAATCGGAAGAGCCTAAAGAGTGGCCTCTTTCGGCTGTCAAAGCGGTGGTCGGCGTACGCCAGCGATTTAATCAGGCCCACAAAGCTTGCCGATGAAACAACATCATCTTGTTGTGCCACAGCTTTGTTCTGAGATTGCTTGTGCATGAATGCATGACTGAACTTGTCACTACTCTCCAGAAAAGAGGCCAATGACTTCTTGCCTGTGAGCAAACTCCTCAAGAATCGGTCGAAGGTGTCAGGCAAGCGTTTCCAGAAAAGCTTGTCAACAGATCGCAAACGATGCGATCTGTCCCTGCTTATCAGACATGCTGAAGGAAACAGCGCTTCCCTGCAGTGACCCCCAGGGTTCAAGCTTGCGCACAATGGTGAAGATTCGTACAGGGCCCTTTGCTCGCAGGGGCCGCCGTCGGCCACCATCGAAAGTATCTTTGAGGTGAAGTGCTTCAGTACATCCTGGTTCGGCTGCTCGTTGTCAGCAACATACAGGTTTGACCTTCGAGAATCACTTCGCGATGTGACAGCCCGTGCAAGAACTCTCTTAAGTGCCTCCAGGATCTGCCTTGATGCGTCTAAGTTATTATTGTCGCTGTTGCTGTCATTCTTGCCCCCACCACAGTCAATTCCTAGCAAAGTATCGTAAATACCCCGGGGCGAAAGCACGCGGGCGTGAACAATTAGGAAACCCTCTCCATGGTCAAGGGCTATGGACCCTGCCACTGCATGCTTCAAATGCCACATGTCCTGCTGGTCCAATGGAAATCGCAGGCACTGCAAGATTTTCTTTGACACTGTCCCCGAGGAATCTGCTTCAGGGGAGAGCAGGGCAGACCCGATGTTTGCAGCCTTGTCAGTTGGCGCAAGAAACGATGCACGGGATAACAAAGAGTTCAAGACTGAGATCCAAGTGTCCATCCGTGGGACCTGAAGAGCCAAACCAGAACAAATACTATGGACGATGCCACTGTCAGGCTCAGCCGCCTGGCCGTCGCCCTGACCCTGCGAATCCTGCAAGCTCAATTTCTGAAGCGCATCCTGATGTTTCTTGCCGGTGGCATGAGTCAATAAATTTGACACCTGCTTGGCCTGCACTGTGCACCGACCAAAAGCCGTGTTCACCTTGGCCCTGAAACAAACCCAGCAACCAACCTGGAACGGGCTGCACTTGTACATCAGCCAGCTGTGGTGTTGGGGCGGCTGGCCGTATTGAAAGGTTGAGCGACGCTTCCAACTGTGTTGCCAGGATGTAGCATGAATAGCGGCGCTGTGTCTGCGCAATCGGCCAAGGTAGCCTATCAGGACTCATGCGATGAACCTAATGACCAACATAAATTGGAACGGAAAAGCAATTTTGGTCAATGAGGTGCCACCTGCAGCAAACCAGCATGTCGGGCATGATTTGTGACCGTCAGGGCAGGACTCCAGATGAGATCTCAAGGCAGCTGGTGTGTCTCTTTCAAAGGTAGCTGTTGGCGGTGCTTCAGCAACCTCCCTTTCATTTGCAGGGCCATCCCCCACCATTGCAACACGATGTTCAGTCACGATTTATTAATCTAGCATCAATATTCTAGCATTCCTCGGAATCCATGAATGAGTTACTACCCGCACCATGTGACCCCAGTCAGGGCAGGCTTGCTTGTGGAGCATCCTTTACTCATTTTATGCACACTTGCTGCCCGAGCACGAAAATCAGCAGCTGTTGCCACAACAGATCGAAGTCACCAATAAACATGGGGGCACCATAACTCAGAACCTTACTCTGGTGCACACATATTGTCGCAGCAGACAAGCAACACTCAAGATAATGGACCCTGAGCTCAGTTCTTATTCTGGGCTTCCTGTAACCACAACAAGCCAAATTCTTGACCCGCTGACAGCCGCTCCGCCTCCAAGGTGAAATGAAGATTCAGAAGCGAAGCAGCCTCAGGCACCCAGAAGACCAAAACTCTAAATCAGCAACACTCAAGCCAAGGCATGACCACATCACAGTGACAATGCATTCGAGCACTGGGAAGACATGTGCCAAGAAAATGCAAGGCCAGCTGTGTCTGCCAATCGTGAACTACACTGTGTCAGGAACACTCAGGCAACCGCAAGATGAGCTCCTTCAGGACGGAAGCCTGACAAAACAGTCAAGCCCAAACTGTTGAAGTCTGTTGAAACGAGAGGCATGCGCTCGAATGCTCACTCACTGACTCACACACAGTGCATTCAGGCAAAAAATGCATGGGGCATGTAATGGCAGTTCCCACCCCCCCCACCCCCCCTCAATGAACGGAATGGCAACATTCAGGGTCCCCGACTGATCGAAGAATTGAAGAGGCAGGCCTGGGCGAGCGGGCAAGTGCAAATCAGCGGCTTGCAAACAAAGGCTTCGAAGGCTTATACACAACAAGGTGCAACATGCCTGGGTGCTATCAGATGCAAACAACACAACCTTTTTTTCCCACTCAACTCAATCATTCTTCTCCTCCTCCTCCTCACCCTCCTTTTTCTCTTCATTCTCCAGCTCGGCCTTGCGCCTCTTGTTCTGCTCACGAGTCTTCTTGGCCTTCTCTGCAATGGCCCGCTTGCGCTCGGCTGCCTCCTTCTCCATCTGTGTCCGCACCCTCGACCTGATGGCATCCTCATAGGTCCTCAAACGCCTCCGTCTCTCTGAGGATCTCACAGTCGAGCTGCTGCTTGATGAAGAAGATGCAACGCACTTGGCCTTTGCTGCTGCCTTTGCCGCCTGCTGGTTGACCGGCGCCTGAGTGGATACCCAGTCCAAATCTAAAATACCTGATTTGAACCAATTAACTTAATAATTCAGACCTCGAAAACACTCTGAATCAAAGCCCCGGTTCAGTCAACTCAGCATGGCTCAACTCCCGACAGCCGGGTGGCGGATGGAAAGAAGTGTCACCAGTGGTCTCATGGAAGAAGAAATGCTGAACGCCTAAGTTTGGAAAAAGACTTTCAAATTTCCAGGCCTAACTGCAATTACAAAAAGACCCTGCTATAAGCAACGCAAAGAAGTCGAGGCTCCTTCTTTGTCGATGCCACGCCATCTCCGCCAAAGGGACGGGCGCAAAAAAGAGCTGATGCCCATCTGCTGGTTCACATAATACGTCAATCCATCTCCAGAGGTATGCCGAGTCCAGCCAGATGGGAGAGGTCCTGAAGTAGCCTGAGTTTTAACTAGGGCTCAGGGATTAAGATTTAGCGTGAGAATCCTTTTCACAAACCAAAGCTTCTAAGCTAAATTGGGACTGGGCACAGGGACATCAGTGGATGAGCCAGCCGTCGGAGGTTCAGAGGTCTCCTCGACCTGGATTGCGATTAACATTTCAAGGAAATGCTGAAGAGCAATACCTAAAACAATAATGGTGCTTAAGATTCTAAGAAAAATCCCATAACCAGCACAAGTGGCAACAATCGTCATATCGCCCATGGGTGGCGGCCTGGGTCTGGGCCCCTTGGATGTCATAGAAAGCTTTGCCTTGGCCTTGGACCGAGATTGAAACAATCAAATCGTGGTTCTGGGCTGATGAGAGACTCAGGGTTTCCTCGAACAAGGTCCTTTTAACTGCAACGCAGGCACATCCATAGAAGCGGCACGATCAGCCACGCCAGGACCAGAGGTCTTCGCAGGCGGAGCAGCAGCCACCCCAGCAGAAGGCTTCGACACAGGCGGAGAAGCCACCCCAGCTGCAGCGCCAGCAGATGCCGGAGGAGCTCCCTTGGCAATGGCTGCTTGCGGCGCCGTGTCCTTTGCAACAGCCGCTGTTGCTTTCGGAGGCGGACGCACCTAAGTTTTCATGAACTGGCGATCGGATTGTGGCAAGGGCTTATGTTTTTCTTTGTCAGAAGCTAGACCCATGCCAAGACAAACTCTTGATGAAATATTCCCAAGAGCTGCAGCAGTTGACATAGCCTTGGGAGGAGCAACAGCAGCTGGAAAGGATGGGCGAGGCACAATCGTTGGTGGCATCTGTCAGGGTAATGGGGCCGAGACAGTCATGATTTGGACACATGGAACTGAGAAACATCAACCTTATTAAGCTCTAGAACTTTCCTTTCGCCCAACCTTCGGGCCCCAGTACTTGCCCACCTGCTGTGCTTGATCTCGACGCTCCCTGGCTCCTCTGCCCATGGCTTCAGCACAGGAGACTGAGAGACTCCTAAGGTAATCCTAATCTGAAGTCTGCCTTGCCTGGCCTAGTCTGACCTTACCGCGTGGCCTGAGTGCCAAAATGGCCTGGTCTACTGGCCTGAAGCATGGCCTGAAGTATGGCCTGAAGATACCTGAAGCATGGCCTATAAGCATGGCCTGATAGCCTATTCTATGCTGACACCTTCAACCACCCTCAGCCGTGGTCTAGCTATGCCATCTGAAATCCCAATCATCTAAATGATGGGACCCCGCTTGCTTCAGAACCCTACGCATGAGATGGAACTCCCACATCAATAACACCCCTGGCTGACCCTGGCTGCAGAAGCACCAGGCACGTTCAACATGAGTGCATCACTGCCACCATCCCTGAATCTAGACTTAGGGGAGTCAGGTGAGGTGCCAGGGAAGAGTTGCGGAGGGGGCAGGGAGGTATGATGAAGGTGTTCGGGGAGATGCCGGCGAGTTGATGGGCAGGTGCTGGGGTCTACGTATGGTTTGCCTGGGTTTATCACACCCTTAACCTAACCTAATACTAAATCCCAAGCAAAACCCCCCCTGTCTGGATTCTGATGCTGGGCTCCAGACGTTGCCATCGGATGGTCTGCGTTCTCGGATGGTCTGGCCTCGTGGGTTGTAGGATTTCGATGCAGGGGTGAAAGAGCATGGGTTGTGAGTTCTCCAGGGTCCGATTGCTGGCATGTATTTACATGAGGAGAGGGAGAATTTAAATTCTGTAGACGGCTGTTAATCAGTCATATTTGTAGCAGGCAATATCTTGCAGGGGAACCAGTAGTATACAAGCATATCCAGTGTTGGCAACATGAACCTCAACAACCCATACAGCCCTGAATCATGACCCTGAAAGGGCTATACAGCCCCTGAGCCTAAGGGCTGTACAGCCCAAAACCCGAAAACCCATACAGCCCATGACCCTTTAAAAGGGCTAGACAGCCCACCGTGAAAGGGCTGGACAGCCCAACCTTGAAAGGGCTTTACAGCCCATGATCCTAGGGGCTGCACAGCCCAGAACCCTAGACCTATTGGCTATACAGCCACAATCCTATGGGCTATACAGCCCAGGACCCTGAAGGGCTATACAGCCCATAACCCCCCGAAAGGGCTTT